ACACAATGATATTTAAATTGTACATGACAAGAAAAATTACGGTAAATAATTTATATGGTAGTATTTTAAAAATTGTTTTTTTTGTCACTGAATTGAGGATTTTTAACGCTTGTTTTTTCTGATAGATCTTGTTTTATTAGGATTAAAAATTGTGATCTGATTCACTCATCGGATAGTTAATAAATTAAGACTTTGAAACTTAAAATATCCATTCTGTATTATTTGTTTGAATTTCCCCATTGATATTTAGGATTGCGATTGGTCAGTCTCTTATTGGTATATGTGCATCCTGTGCGTATTGCCCCACTGCACAAGCTGATGACTATCGCGGCTCGCTAGCAATGGCGTTCGAAGGGAACGGTACTGGGCTTGAGTCCCGGAGTGGACATCAACTCTGGGACGCAGTTACATCCAGTTGACGAGTCGAAAATCGGACGAGACGCGCGTCCTGAATTCTGTTGATAGCGGGATCGTAGATGCGCACTACTCAGGAGTCCCATACTGAGACGAAACGGCCGTCCAGTGCTCTCAGGTTTTACATGGTTGTCTAGCTTAAACTGACTCATGAATTCAATCACTAAATTTTTAAGATATTGTTTAAAATTCATAAGAGTTATTCTTGGAAAACAATAGATCAGTATTTCCTACTTATCGATACTAAACATTAATGTATGTCTACATGATTTTTAAGGCATTAGATTCAACTTTAACTGTTATAGGCGGTATGAAATTTACTGAGATGAATATGATCTTCAAACCAAGCATATCTAAGTATTGGATATATTCATGCAAATGAGTCAAATAATCTAGATTGGATGAGCATTTTCCCAGATTCTAGTACCTATTTACTTACAGTTGTAATATGACAATAAGATATCTGTGAATAGGTTCTAAATTCTGTGGGTATATTGATTAAAACCAGTACATAAAATAAAATGTCAATGACTTATTAACTTTATTATGAACTTTGTACTTGATGTGTACACGTTGACTGAATACTTCAAACCAGGTTAATTTCATATAATTTTTGGTCACATTCTTACAATAGTATATGTTGATGAACGTTTACAAATAGTTTCACAGATATAAAAGCGAATTCTCAAATGTTTTTTTTCTCAATCAAGCAATGGTTTACAATGTCTGTGTAACAAATTATTGAAATTTTGAAGCTATATAACAACTACAATATTATCTGACAGGGTTTTGTGGACATTTTAGAAATTTCACTAGTTGAAATCATGAATCAATTGAAGCTAGACCACCGTGAAAAACCTGGAAGCAGTGGACGACCGCTTCGCCATATTGTGGGACTCTTCAGCAGTGCGCATCCACGATCCCGCCTTGCGAGGTTCGAACGCAGGACCTATCAGTCTCGCGCGCGAGCACTTAACCATTAGACCACTGAGCCGGCATCCAATAGTGTTAATGTTCAACTTCAATCAATCCACGAGATTGCGCCACCGTACACTACAATGTTGTCATAAAACGTCAATATAATATGCTTTCAACTGTAAAGAACATCACAGATAAAACTTTTTTTCTTTGATCATAACTTCAATTATTTTTGGATGAAATGAATGATTTAATTTAGAGTAATCAGTGTTTTTAGTACAGTTATATAATAAACTTTTAGGAAACTACTTTTAAGGTAACTAATCTATTTAATAAGAATAAAATAAACTATACAGATATTAATTTAATAATTGAATTCATGAGCCAACTGAAGCTAGGTCACCATGGAAAACCTAGAAGCATTGGACGGCCGTTTCGTCCTACTATGGGGCTCCTCATCAGTACTCATCCACGATGCTGCCCCGCGATATTTGAACCCAGGACCTAGCAATCTACAATCTCCATAAAATCCTTGTCTGAATGTAGATAATACATATATATGGATGGTTTTTTTTAATTAACTTACTTAATTTTATTATGCAGTATCTAAATTCTCTTGTGATGTTACTAAAATTCTTTTCAACGTTTCATAAACATTAAGACAGTAACTTTAACTCAACAAGTAAAATATAACATAAAGTAATTTTCCACTTCAAAATGCCTAATCATATAGTTTATTGAAGTTGACTACCGCTTATCTAAAATCTTTTTCTACTGAAAGCAGATATGATTAAGGTATTTCATATACTTAGATCAAGTGATATTCAAAGGAAAGATGATAAGAAAGGGGTTTGTAATTAACCTTGAATTTAATTCGATGTGAGAGAATGAAGTGAATTAATTCTGCATATTTTATTTATCACAATAACCTTAGCTATTTCATGAGCTTTTCAATCAAGATTAAATTTATGAGTTCGGTTTAACGATAATTGATAATGATGAGTTTTAGTTCAGTTATAAATTTCCTTTCACTTTTTCTGTAACCATTTTATTTTCACTATCGATATTTTATTGGGATCTGTTTACGCAAATCATCAAACTGCATCACGAGGCAAGCCCTAACTCGGAATCCTGAAGGTAAACGGAAAAGAGGAAGGCCAAAGAACAGATTACGTCAAGAAATAGAAGCAGATATGGAAAGGATGAATAGCAACTGGAAAGGATTGCCGAAAACAGGGTTGGATGGAGAATGCTGGTGAGTGGCCTATACTCCACGAGAAGTAACAGGCGTAAGTAAGTTTTTAATATCATTAGAAGTTTTTTTATTTAAATTTGTTAAAGTCAATAAAAATCATAATCTGATAATGTTTACTCACTTCACAAATTGTGCACTTTACTTCTATTCAGAACTACATGTTAAGTCTTCACCATTAGTATTTATCACTTACAAGAAGATGATTTATGTTATTTACCACAGACACATACAAACAACTTTTAACAAACTTGAAGTTTAATTGCATTTAACATCCTATCTTTGTATTAAATCTTAATTACAGAGTAAAACTATTAAATTTTGTAGGTTTGCTTTGGAATTTATCCGTATAGTTCTTGATATGGTAAAGAGAGTATCAAGTTACTAACATCTTATTTCAAATCAAATGATCATGCCATTAAGTTAAATGTTAAGTGGTTCGGATGAGTTGTTTGTTTGTTTTTATTTACGGAGTATGTTTTCTTCAGTCATTTATAGCTTAAGCATAATGATAGTGTACCAGATTATTGTAAATTATAATCCATAGAGTTATGTAATTGTTTCTTAATTTCAAACTTTGAATTTTCATTGAACATTGTGAATTACTGCTGTTTGTTTAATTCTGAGTAAGGAATATTCAGTTGAACTCTTATGATTTATAAATAGGCCTTTACATTATTATATATATATATGTTCTTGCTTTCTATTACATTGAGACTGATAAATTATTCATGCATTTCTATCCAACATGGGAAGTCTAAAAAAAGGAAGCAGAATTATGAACAAAGGATATTATTTTCAATAACTTAGTCAATTCTTAGCCAGATACATCTTTTATAATTAGAACGTTTAAATTTAGGAATGTTGGTAACATAGTATAAAATTGTTAGTGCTGAAATGACTAGTCTTACAGTGGTTACTTAAATAGGTTTACAGGTTAAATGAAACTATAAGATTGATAATGAAACACTCAACCTCTAGACCACCAAGTCGGTATCCAATGGTGTTAAACCGAGTCAGATAGGGACAGGTATCTACCTTTTTACAATGGAAGATGGTCGTGCAATTTCGTGGATTGGTTGAGGTTAGACATTAACAACGTTGGATGCCGACTCAGTGGTCTAGAGATTATGTGTTCTCGCGTGTGATCAAAGGTTACGTGTTCAAATCCTGCGTGCGGAATCATGTATGCGCACTGCTGAGGAATCTCATAACAGGACGAAACGGTTGTTCAGTGCTCCCAGGTTTTCAATGATAGTCTAACATCAATCGGTTCATGATCTCAACCAAAAACTTAATAATCTCTACAACCCTATACTAATGATTGAATTATATCACTGGTAAACCATTTATATGTAATCTGATCGTCAAAATTTACTATACAAAAGCTTTTTAGTGCACTACACTTCATCCCAAAAAATATTCCATGTAAGTTTGTGTTCATCATTCTCATGATTCTTAATTTCCCTTTTAAACTATAGAAAGTCTCTTATCTTGAAACATCCAACAAAGAAGTCACTTTAATCATTTGTGCACTTTAATCAGGGTTTTATTAAATAGATGATTTTCACCCTAGTTACTTACTAGAGTATCTATAACATTTGAATGATAAACATAATCAAAACTGTGGGAGTCTTAGGGATAAATGAAAATAAGGCATTAAAGATCCACCCCACCCCACCCCACCCCCCCAAAAAAAATAAAGAAAACTTGACTAGTTCGGAGAATAGAATTTTATCATTATTGAGAACCGTATGACATGAAAATAGAATTAATCATAAATTAATGTCAATCGAATGGTTGTTAACAGTCAGACCATACAAATTCTACTAGAAAAAAAATACGTAATCTTGTAACTAATGAGATTCTGTTCACTTTAAATGTTTTTTTCATCGCCAGGAGATAACCATCTTATTGTTAACTTATCAATTAGTAAAGACAATTGACTTTAGAGATACAATAATAAGAAAGTTCTAATAAATTACTTTAAAATACAAAAAAGAAATTGAATAGGTAAAGTTAACTGAATTTTAAGTGTGAACCTTATCTCATGCGTTTTAGAAGGACTAAATTGAAATGAAAGTTTCTTATTCATAATTTGAATTCATTGTAAAACAAATGACGTTTACAAGTGACGTTTAGTTATTAAATCCAAATTAAATAATAATAATAATCTAAACTGATGTAGATACATGATGAACTAACTGGATAGTCTTTCTTTAAAAGCAATAGAACAAATTGAATAACATTGCCCAACAAAATGAAATATGTTTAGAGACAAGTAGCATAGATGTTAACACAAAAATGAGTGAAATACATCATGAATATGCTAAAAATTCTGAATTCAGATAATGAATTTCATTTTGTTAAATACTATTGAAAAAAAGGATTTTCAGTACCATTGTATTTTTTATGTCCATAATCTGTTATTAGTTTTGTAAATGATAAGCAAAATGTTTGCCGTAATATATTCTGATAGCTACAAAAGGATCGTATGAATCACATCATTTTGTGTGATGGTATACCATTATTATTTGGTTAATTTTTAAGCAGGATTATTTATGATGAATTTGATTGTGGAATACCATATTGTGAAAGACTGCTTGCATTTAGACAATAAGGATAGAAGTCAACAGGCTGTAAATATGTTTCTTTTGTTGACAATTCACTGTTAGATACAACTTGCCTATTCAAGCCAATGCAACTTGAAACAAATGGATTTGATTCAAAACGTAAAATGTTATGATTTTTATTGTCTGATTCATTTAAAATACTGATATTTTCTATACTGTGTTTTAAGATAATATTATCATTATCTGGTTTGAACGACTGATTGTCAATTGAAAAGCCTTGATTTTGAAGAGGCCGTAGAGTGGATAACCATGTTTGAGTAGAACCATGGAACTTTACATCATGTACTTGTTCTGATTTTGTTGAAACTAAATCGTGAACTGAATGGTTCTCGTATAAGGTAGACTTTGAAAATGCCTGAAAAATTGCAGATTTATTGTCATGAGTTAGGAATTCATCTTTATTTAATGATAACTTTTCAGTGGTTGGTATATCTGTAGTATGCTTCGAATGTGTAGAATCGCATACAACGGAAAAATTTAAAGACTGATTCAAATCTTCAGGTTCCTCTGAATAGTTGCTGTCTGTATCACCTGGGGATGGAAATTTACATTTTTATATTATGAAACATGAGCAAAATGTAAGTAAAGAATTACGAAAAAATAGTTTTAAGAATACTTCATAGACTGAAAGTTCTTTTTCTAACTCCAGAGAAAGTCTCAACATGGATTATATCTATTATCTTAAAAGAAACAGAGAACATCTTCATGGTAATTCCTAAATTCTGGTGTTTGCGTCACTGGTAGTGACACAATAACGAGTATTTTCAATCTGACACCATTTTATATCAAAATAAGGGAAGAATCAAGTCAAACAGTATAGGCTACCAAAGTAATACTAATCGGAATCAAGAACTCCGCATCTAAATACCACTAGAGTTTTTACTGAAAATTGTTATCGTAAGTTACTTTTCGAATATTAACTTAGTCCAATTGTTATAAATATCTCCAAAAGCTAATTACTTAAAAGTTTGCAAAAAGATTACAAATATGGAGTGTTTGAATTGGTAGCCAATGATTCTGTGAATTCGTAAACCTATAACCCCTATATTAAAGTTATTTCATAAACCAACTGAAACATTTGTAATCTAATATGGGATCATAAAATCTATCCAATAAAACTTTATCTCTGTTACTTTTCTAAGAGCTCACTTGAAACTAATAAATCTTGTTACTGATTTAGTGTAGTTATGTAGTGAACGAGAATACAAATGGGGACAATCAATTGTATTTGAACACAAAATTACCGAATTTCTTAGTAAAATCTGAGAACCATACAGTAAATACTTCATTTTAAAAATATCAGTCAATCGTCTCAGACTTTGTTGTTCTTTCGTTTCCACATCAATCATTCTCTGTTCTCGTTAAATTTTCTTCGATCTTCTTAACCTTCTGCTTCCAAACATTCTATTCCTGACTAGCGTTATATACTACTTAAGTAACACACACAGAAGTTATACAAAGAGTAGAATTCATTCTTATCTTAGCAGAGATTACGATGCTACATTTACTAAACTAGCTTTTGAATATTAGTAAAGATGTAAAGAATAATTAACTTTTCTGTCAAAAACCTACATTTTTTTCAAGTTGACAAGTGTAAAAAAAGGTAATTTTAATTTCAATAGTTGGGATCATGAGTCAATTGAAGCTAGACTACCATGGAAAACCTGGAAGCACTGAATGGCCGTTTCATTCTATTGTGGGACTCCTCAGCATAAATCACATTGTGAACGAATAGATATCAACTTCAACTACCGATACTGTAGAATGATGATATTTTATTTCCTTGTCATTGACTTGTTAATTTATTTTAAATGATCGAATTATGCTATCATATGGACAATAATTAATGTAACTATAAGAATAGGAAGATATCATATTATAAATCAGATTATGTTAAAAGAAAGAATGCGGTAGAAATTCATTAGTACTTCAAAAGTTTCTTCAGAGATAGTTCCATAAAGTGAACCATTTGATTATGCTATATCTTTTTGAACTTATCAAGGATAATCTTATAAATCTCGAAAACACATAACATTTGTACATAGTTACTGCTGATGAATTACTTAACATCTTCAAATTGTTTCCTTATTAAATGAAAACACTCATTGAGTAACAAACATTTCTAATAATTATCTAAACTGTGTCCTACTGATGGATAAGAATAAAATCGGTTGAAGATTGTAGATAGCTAGACACTAGATAGAATTACTAAGGTATTTTACTTCTATCTTACTATTTCATCACTTAAATTCAAAAACTTGAGTATAAGTGAAAGTAGACTTACTTGAACCAGAACCCTGGAATTCATCCTTAGATAAATATTCATCTCCACTAGTTGAATCATCTAATATAATTGAATTATCACCGCAGTATGGTGCAGAACTTTTATCTAAATCATTTGAACATGTTGAAAATAAGTATGGTTCATTCATACAAACAGGTGTATTACTATTAGTACTTGTATTTGCACTACTGATTAATAAAGAGTCAGAAATTGACCAGATATTCCTTCCAGCATCTTTTTTTAATCTTTTCTCTTTTGCCCTAATAAATAAGATGTAAAAACATTTAATCTTGAAATTGATTTAGCCAGTTAGTTTTAATGTTTACACACTATTCAAACAAAAGATTGTCAATATATTATATATTCTGACTTTATCTTACATTGAAAAGCCTTAATTACAGTAAGTATAAGCTAAGAAGTTTTATCTATCAAGATCGAGGTAAAGTTGTATTGATCAATAAAGGGTTTTGGGGCTTGTCAAGTTTTTGATTGAGATCATGAGTCGATCAATGATAGACCACTATTGAAAGCGTGGAAGCACTGAGCAGCCGGTTCGTTCATTTATAAAATTTATAAAATTAAACCACTGAGTCTTCCTCATTTCCCCCCCCCATAAATACATCAAATATAATGAAATTAATATTCATCTACCAGTTTAAACTACTCACAATAGTAATCTATTCTGTTTCCATTCATAATATATACTGAACTCATCAATTGTACAATGATTTGTTAAACTCAGTGAAATTGTCCTTTCCTTTTTTTAGAATAATTAAACTTCTTGGCATATAAAATTTAGATATTATTATACAATCTATCTCTTACATTAATTCCTCTGTACTGCTATATATATATATATATATATATATATATATATATATAACTCTTGAGGGAATAAGTGAATATCTTTTCAGAGTAAAAGATGAAGAACTTTTTCAAGTCTATTTATAATCAGCCAAATAAAATATATAATTCGATAACAGTACAGAGGACTTAATATACATTTATATATGCTGGAGTAGATAATGAAAAAAGAAAAAAAAAGAAAAAGAAAAGAGAAATAGAATTCACACGCATACAATTGAATATGTGAATAAGTGAAAAATGGCCAGAGAAAAACGAAAACCCCATGCATAACTAAAAATTCTTTAAAGTAGTTTTTCTTTTTTTTAATATTTTTTGCAAGGGTGGTTATATGATGAATTATGCATTCCAGTGGAAATGCAAAATCTATGCATGAATGAATGAATGAATTTTGGAAATCCATTCACTCATCATCATCATCATCATCATCATCCATTCAAAAGCCAATACAAAAAAAGCAATACAACAACCACAGTAGAAATAAATATTTATTTTTCATCAACCAGAAATGCTTCTCTTCTCTTTTTTTTTTACCTTGGGGAATATTTTGTATTTTCTTATTACGTACACATACACACAAATGAAATTTAGAATGATGATAGAAGTAGAGAGAGAGCGAGAGAATGGAGAGAAAAGAAAAGAGAAAGGGAGATAGAACTAAAAATAAATAGACAGTAAAATAAATACGATAGACAGATAGATAGATAGATAGACGGATGTGAATACTCTGTGTACTTTTTTTATTTAACCAGTGGTTGGTGTAAAAATGAAGGTGGTTTTGAGTGAAAAATGAAATTGATAGAAAAGCAGCGTAAAAAATGGATGATTTTCCCAGATTTTTTTTCACTTCTTATGCACATCATACATATATTTACTACATTTATGTACCACGGTTATACTTACTGTAAAGACGAAGTTATTCAATTTAATGCTAATTCAACATAACAACTTATATTCATTTTAGTCAGTATGACGTTCGTATTGGTAGAGATTAGGTAAGCACCACATAAGATATTCAGCTCCATATCCAGTGAGACTAAACCATCTCAATTAATCTTGTCTATACTAATTACTTACTGTGTGGACCATGGTTTTAAATTATGTAGATTTTAAGAATGATAGAGCTGTATCTCTCGGTTGGAAATGTAGGCTAAGTGATAATGCACTTTTTCAATATTGATCGGTTGAAATCAGCCAACAGAAATCCCTTAATCAACATTTTCTTTCTACTATTTAAGAATGAAATGTATTTGCAGTCTTAAGGGGAATGGTAGTTTTTTATAGGTTTGAACTAACATGACTTATTGACATAATTAAATAAGTTACCATTGAGCTATTCCAACGGTTACTGAACCCCAGTATGTTTACATTATTATGTAATTGATTTCGTGTTGTGCGCTTCTTAGCTTTGAACTTAAGGTAATGATTATCGTTTATTCTACGAGATCCCTGAAAATTAGTAATTACATACATACATCAGGTCTCTCGTTGAAATAACCATCATTATTATCATTGGGAATATGATCATTCAGGAGTTTTTATTTTATTGTAGTTTTGACATATATATTTACCTTGAATAAATGAAATACATCTATACATAATATTTCTAATAACCTAAGTATTTTTCACTCGGTATTTGAGTTTTCGATTTTTGATATCATCTGAAGTTAGTAATTTTAATAAATATTTAAACTTACCTACGATTTTGAAACCATACTTGTACTACACGCATATCTAAACCAGTCTCTTCACTAAGTTGTTCTCTGATATGACGTACCGGTTTTGGACTTTCACCATAAACTCTTTTAAGTGCTTCCAGTTGTTTAGCTGAAATAGTTGTTCTAGGACGTTTATTAGCATTGTCTAATTCTGCTTCTAAAAAATATAGATGTAACGTAATTCATTTACTTAGTTAAGTATATTTATAATTCAAAGGGATCAAATGGTAATATAAATACATATGCACATTTTTTAAATATTACAATGAAGTCATTGCATTTCTTGTAAATACAATTCACAAGTTAAGTTTGGTAGAAGTTAATCTCCATGGAATTTTGTTCTTTGAGATGGATGGTTTGATCTTCTATCTGAAGTTTGTGCTGATGATGTCGTTCAGAAGAACGATGAAAGCTTCAAGACCAAACCATCCAGCCCAAAGAATAAAACTCCAGCAAAATCATCCACCTGAGCTACGAATTCTCTCCACCATCCCAGAAGTTAATCTCAAATACTATACCCCTATATTTAATACATGACGTTATCCATGATTCAGAAGGGTGTAAATTTATCAAGAAAATAATATAATTTAATAGTTAAATTCATGGGTCAATTGAAGCTAGACCACCTTGGAATACCTGGAAGCACTAGACGGCCATTTCGTCCTAGTATGGGATGATGAAACATAAAAATACCAGATTAAGACTAAACGAAGAACATATGGTCAGATAAAGTTTTCTGATAGTATAAGAAATTAGAAATCCACAACATGGATGTAATCTGACTTTTTTAAAAGTGTAAGCCTAATTACCTAACTGTCCACGAGTACCATGATAACAAACCATTAGAAGTATCTTCATATAGATAAATTACTACAAAAATTTTTTTATCAGAAGGGGTTTTTGTGTATATTATGTTAATTTCAATAGTTGAGATCATGATTCAATTGAAGCTAGACTACCATGGAAAACCTGGAAGCACTGGATGGTCGTTTCGTTCTATTGTGGGATTCCTCAGCAGTGTGCATCCACAGTCCCGCCTCACGAGATCCGAACCCAGGATCTATTAGTCTCGCGCGCGAACGCTTAACCGCTAGACCACTGATCCGGCTGGCATCCAAAAGTTTCAATGTCTAACTTCAACTAATCGACGAAATTGAGTGACACACCCACCATTTTCTTCTGTGAGTTACTATCTCACAATAGACCCGGTTGAACTCTACTGCTCACTGCTTCTCACTAGAACTCCAGGAAATACCTCTTGAAGCCAGTCACTAGTGAGAATTTGCTTCCAGGTTTTCCATGGTGGTCTGGCTTTGATTGACTCATGATCTGAACTATTAAAATTTTTTACCTGAAATTATTTTATTATTTTTAGATTTTTATCAAAAATATTTTTTACCTCGAGCTTTAGCAGTTTCAAAATCTGACTTGCACATTAGTTTCCGATCACGTAATAGATAGAATTCATCGCCTGTATTTAACATACGAGCACAGCTGACACATGAAAAACAATCTAAGTGATATACATTTTCTTGAGCTGTCCGAACAACTTCCATTGGTGGAATACCTTTATCACAACCTGCACATTTTGTTCCAAAGCGACTAAATAATTAATTAAAGAAAATTAATATCATTTATATACTTACAAATAGATATCTGCTTTGATTAATGAGTAATATAAAGGAAAAGTTACCATTTATGTTAGTTGTTTTACCAAGATCATGGTTAAATATAGTCTTTTTTACTTCTGGCTTGCATAAACGTTATAGTTCATTTCTGTTGATCATAGATAAACGGTTCAATGAAATGCTATTCAAAGAAAAAGTACTTGATGACTATTCTATAACAGAAACAAGCACTTGGAGTTAATTCGATTCAAGAAAAAAAACATTAAAATATCGAAACATTTTTGTTTCCGAGACAACTTGCCATACTGACTCCTCCTATGAAAGTGATATTTATCAACATGCTTTGGGGATAATCATGAATTCTATAAATGATAGATCTCAAGTTTGTAGGGAACATGACTAGATTGATTCATAATCTCGATCAAAAACTTAAGAATCTCCACGACCACATACTGTTGATATTTATCTACCACGGTATTGAATTCGAAGAAAAACTGAAGTTAATCCGATTATCAGGAAAATTTGATTGATCGATTTAAAAGTATCCGTCTAACTACTAATCATTATTGATCTGTAAATTATTTTATTTTTTCAGAAAATATGATTTTTTTTCTCAATTTCATTGCATAATATTTGTCTCTATAATCGTAGATCCAATGAATCTTACAATAGTGTGTGTAATCAAGATCACTATTAACTAACTGAATATGACCCTAAACCATTTAAATTGTAACTATTATACATAAAGGAAAAAAAATATACAGCGATATGTGTTATAAGACAACAAGACAAAATGTTTTTATCATAAAATGAACACGTGAATAAAGGTTAATAATGTATATGGATTAATCTAATCTATCTTATAATTTAAGGCCTAGAATACATTAACTTATTAACTTTTTCTCATTATTATTTTTAATATTCTTATACTGACATGAGAAACATGAGAAAACTCACCTTATTTGAGTTAGTTTGTATTGTAAGAGATTATCAATAAGCTTTCTATTCATGCCAAAATTATAAAAATAACAGACAACTTGTATCTAATAAATTTCATGACACCTTATTTAGTCTGGAATTGTTTTCTTCTTCTTCTTCTTTTTTTTCACCACAATAATAACAAATATGAATAATACTACTAATAATATTGATAATAAATACAATGAGCATGAATAAAATGTCGCGTTTATCTGTCAAGAAAACAAACTACTGAAATTTCTATCTTATTCTAACAAAATAATCTACATGTGTGTCTGTATTTATCGATGAGGGAAGGAGGGAAGGGGGGGCCGGTATAATTAACGAATAGTCAGTTAAGTGAAGACTGAAATCTCCAATGAAAGGGGGTTGTTGATAGATAAATAAATAAAAGAATGAAGTAAAAATTCGAGAAAAATTAATGAATGAAATATGTTCACACACACACAAAAAAAACAGACAAACAAAACAAATCCATTCCTTTCTTTTTCAATCTAATGGATAAACACCATTTAGTTAATTAGAAAAAAATATATCTCTCTCTCTGAACAATAATAACATTAAAAAACACCTCAAAGAATATAATCCCAATTTAGTTAATGTTCGAATAGATTTTGAGGAGTAAATGAATTATGCCTACAAAGTGATAAAACTATTTATTTCTATTTTCAGTGTAAATATTCCTCCTTCATTCTTAGTTCCCTGTTCATATATCATTATTATTATTAGTAGTAGTAATAGTAGTAATATAGTGGTAGTGGTAGTGTACAAAAATGAAAGAAATGTTAATAACAATACTACTAATAATAATGTTTAAGTATGAAGTACAATGTTCATATCATTTATCTACTTGTTTTAAAATGATTTACTTTACATTCACATAATAAAAATGATATACACAGACATATTTAAATAAGTGTAATTTAATTTAATTGACAATTGAAAACAGCTAATAAATAATTGTGACTGATTAAACCTACAATTTTTGTTGTGTTTTTGTTGTTGTTGTTGCAAATTCTACTATACTAACACAACTGACAAATAATCGATTATAGGAGAGAAAAAAAAGGAGCATTAATATTCATTCATTGAGGGTAATAATCCTGATTGATTATTATCCTGAAGAAGTTGAGAAAAGTTTACTGGACGAAACGTTGGAATTATTTTAAATTTCAATCACTGAGATTAATTCAAATATAATTTTCACATATAATGACTTCTCTATACACGGTACCCAATCATTGTCAAACTATTCGTTCTAATCTTGACGAATATTCGTATTAATATTAATTCTTTTTTGAATTAAGTGCCATTTAAAAAAAAACTCTGTTTAACATTTCTTCATGTAGTTGTTAATGTATATGAGAAGTAAATTTTATTTGATAAAGCAAAAGGTATTTATATCAGAAGGGGTTTGAGGAATATTATGTTAATTTCAATAGTTAAGATCATGAGTCAATTGAAGCTAGATCACCATGGAAAACCTGTAAGCGCCGGACAGCCGTTTCGTCCTATTGTGGGATTCCTCAGCAGTACGCATCCCAGGATCTATCGATCTCGCGCGCGAGCGCTTAAGGATTAGACCACTAGGCCGGCATCCAACGTTGTTAATGTCTAACTAACTAATCGATAAGATTGAGTGACACATCCACCATTGTCATCAGTGATTTACAGACGAAACGGTCGTCTAGTGCTTCCAGGTTCTCCACAGTGGTCTAGCTTCAGTTGACTCCTGATCTTAGCTATTAAAAAGGTATTTAGTTTACAAAAGAAAATGATATTCAGTAGTAGAATAATATTATGTGGTTATCAATACTGGATAAATCAATATTGGGTCGACTTTTTTAGTGTATAATCACTAATCTGAATGATTCAACATTATGGTGTAATCCACTCGATGGTAATTCATTAAAGATAACTATCAAGTATTCGTTCGTTTGATTGATGTATGGATAACCTAAAAATGTATTTCTAAATGTAGATAGTTTTCGTATGAATAACAAATATATATATATATATATATATATATATATATATATATATATAATCGCTAACTTACCGAAAGAAGTCTTCTTTACAGTACAGTTCATCTGTTCGTACAAAACATTTCTCTGATAATGAAGTACCACAATCCATACATTTCAAACAGTTTACATGCCAACTCTGATTAAGAACTTGTAGAATAGTTCGATCCATTACCAATTGTTTGCATCCAGCACATTGTGGAGCTAGTTAATAATGAATTAGATATGAAAAAGAAATAAAATGAATGTAGAAATAATGATACAACTACTCTATCACCTTCCGTATAACACGAATCTGTAGTGAAATGTAGTTATTTTAATCCACCTTTTAAAGATTTAGAGCAAACAAAACCATATTTAAAGTAGGGGGTTAAATACCAAAATTCTAATCTTTTACTAGAATGGATAGAGAGATTTAAAAATGTGCTCAATAAGATTGCTATAATTTAAATGAAGTAACTGAATTCGCTAACTAACTGGGAGATAAACAATGGTATCATTTTGTAAGAACAACGTTTTATCTCAGACGAATACAGGATATTTAAGTCTCTGCCTAACGAAACTCAATGAGGTATGTGGTAACAAAAAGGCATTTATTATTTCTTCAGCTATTTAGAACACTGTTTTATTTAATTCCTAATCATTTTGCTTATCAATTACAACCTTAGAAATTCGAATAATAAATTTAGCTTTTTCTTGATAAAAAAAAGGTCTCAATATACTGTAATATGTTCCGAATGAAGAATTTCGCATAGAGAAAATGTTGCTTACTAAGGTTAACATTTCCCACAGGTTACCAATCATATGTTATTTGGCATCATTCAATGTTCATAATTACCTTAAGGTATTACACGAAAAAACCTTAAAATGAATCCGTTTTCGAATTTCTGGTGTACAGCCATTGATAATAATAATTGTATACTCGATAAATATTCGTCAAGATTTGAACGAGTGGTTTCACGTAAATTAATCGACTACCAATTAGAAAATCGTAAATCACAAATCACTCGTAAAGATCTCAGTGGCTGAGTCAACGACGGTAGATCTTCTCACACTTGCAGCTCAAACTCCTTTTTTCCGGTATAATGAGTGTTATATTTTGACGAAAATGAACCCACACCAGCGCCTGTGTCGATATTAAAACTTTTATCTATCTCAAGTCAAAATATGTGTGATTTTAACTAAGCAAATAATACTTTAGGTGTCTGTATAATTAGAAAAGAGTTTTTTTCATCGATATTCCACTGGATATAATTTTCCGTATCTGTACGGTTGGTAGGACAAGATGTCTTCACGAGGATCTTCCTGAAGTTTTTGCTTAAAAACTACGTTATTTGTTGTTGAAACGATTTGTGGTGGTATTTTTTGGGCTCCAAGTTAATTTTCATCCACGTCACCGTATGCATAATTGTGAATGTACACTCCTGACGAGTCCCATACTCGGAAGAAAAGGCCATCCCATGTTTTTAGGTTTTCAGTAGTGGTCTAGCTAGGTTGACTCATGGATTCAACAATTAAAAGAAAATAAATCCGTTCACGGAATTAAAAATGATAAACTGATCATTCTTCTACTAGTCAAACTAATGAAGATCTAGAGTGTATATTATCATCCAGTCTCTTGGTTATGTTCCTTCTAGAGAGAGAAATATAAGAGTTATAAAAAAAATACAAAGAAGATTTTTTTCCTGATTAGAATTGAATGATAAAAGTAATACTGTATAATGGATGATACTTAAATAATGATTGTTTTCATAGTATGGTAAATTCCATATTTTTATTGATAAACAAATCAAATTTTATTGTATGTATCAACTACTCATACTCCCATATCAACTGTTAAACAGAATATGAACCATAACTATAAACAGTGATAGTTAATTCAAAGCAAAATGTATTTGGATACATTTTTTTCCCTTGGACTGAAATTGGTTTGAAAAAAATATATTGAAAAATACTAGGGATTGAAATTTATTTTATTTATTTATTCAATTTATGTGAGGGCTGGGAAACTGCCCGGGTGCCCAAACCGAAGCAGGTGGCTTTCTTGGGGTTCCATACCCCGAGCCTTTGACCTAAAAGTCTAATCCGAAAGGCAATGGAACAACTTCAGGTGATGCAGTCCCATGGTAGCCGTTGACCAACAATAGGTTCATACGCCATTTGTTTCCTTCAGCATCCTGGAGCTCAGAGTTTTCCAACTCCCTTAGGTGGATCCTCCATATCCATCAATCCGGACAAAGCGCCGGACATTCGCATTTCGTCCTCTCAATTTCGTAATCGAAACCCCTACCACGAGAAAGCATTGAGTAGGACTTCCCTGGCAGTAGTTGTATGCACGTAGCCATTTGAGAACATTTCGAGAGGGAGAGTTGACTCTCCCAACTCTCAACAGTACCAGAGCATTCAGGGACAAGGATTGAAAAGTTTTATTCATATCAGTGTAAAGGATACTTCCATCCATAATATTTTCCAATTCAAAAAAGTGTTAAATAAACTCAACTAAATTTATAATAACACCGAATTTCTCAATAACACTCGAAATCGTAGTGATATACATAATAATAATAATGAAAACAGTGGTTCTGAATAGTTGTCAGTTAAAATAAAAAAAAAGGAAAACTTCACAATTACAAAAAAAACAAATGAAATTTCCATGTGACAAAATCTATTTAGATCTATATTGATGACATGATCTATTGTACACAAAAATGATATTCGGCTTTTATGATTAAGATATTTACACCCTTATTTATGTTAAATAAATACATTTATACAAAATGAAATACTATTTTTCCCATTATATTTCTTGTCATTAATATCTCACATAGAGATTTATTTGTCTGACGCGTGTATATATGTATATATATACGGTTAACATAAACCTTTCAAGACATTTCCATATTCATAAATCATTTGGTCAGCTTAACAACAACGGATAGAAACAATTTCTTTTCTTTTTCTTTCTTTTTTTCAGGATAAAATGTGGGTTCATTCATTAACGAATATCTGCTGTTCTTACTTTGAATAGAAGTTATTTATTCATATATCTCTATACAATTAAATAACAAATTTCATTGTATTCAACTATAAATGCTTTGATTAAAAGTGCTTTGTTTTCTTTCCTAACATCTAATTTTTTTTTAAAGAAAAATTGGTTATCGAATAAATCAACTTGCTGAAATTCTTGTTGTTAAATTGCTACTTATATAAATTAATGAATAAATCCATATAATTTCACTGGTTGAAATCATGAGTCGATTGAGGCTAGACCACCATGGAAAACCTTGAAGCACTGGACGGCCGTTTCGTCCTAGTATGAGACTCCTCAGCAATGCGCATCCACGATCTCGCCCCCCGCGAGATTCGAACCCAGGTCCTATCAGTTTCGTGTCAGGCGCTTAACTAAAACCCATTCTGATAATAAAAATCCATATAAAATATTACCTATATTCTACAAGTATGTTGTGTAGTTATAGAGAGCTTGAAGAGATTCTCTGTATAATTTAATTTATATTCATTTAACTCGGTTATTTATTCTCTGAACAAAGGACTCGTAATGAGTCTTGGAACATCGTAAAATCAATTTTTTACTCACTAGTGTTTAACAAATATACTGCTTTATTTTTATCAACAACCCTCAATCCTAATTCTCATTTGGTAACGGTACCGTATTATCTGTTTTCTATCTCATTAATCTTATTCATATTGATTATTATTGTCTGTTGAAATTTCCTTCTGAAATTCTCCAAATGATTTGATTGATAAAAAGATTTCGAAGCTCAGTACCAACTGGGTTTCACAGCTCAACAAGTGAAGCTTTAGATAAGTATTTCAAAAGTCACTGATATCAATTCAGCAGTAGCTGATATCTTCTATTTTCATCGAAAATGCATTAAGTAGGAGCTATCATGGAGAACTTAGTTACTAACAAAATAATATGTTTGCTATTATCTGGGTTTGATATAAATTTCCAGAACGTCGACTGAGAATAAACAATCTTTCAAATTAAGTAGTTTGAAAGTGAGAACAAATACTTTAAGGTGACTTTAGATACTGGTCTCCTCAAAAAAGATTCGCAACTGACTACTACCGTTAAATTCAAACGCCTACTCCTGATCTTACGTATGCGTTGCTACTTTGAAAGAAATTTATGGTTCATAACCAAAGCCTGAGGCCAACCATATCAGTTAACTGACATGAGAAGTGTCTGTTACTGAAATGACAAACAGTTTGGGAAGCCGTCAAATGTCCTTGTCTCGACACCACATATCATGTAGATATTTTAACTAAACCTTAAGTTGACTCATAATGTAAGTCACCATGACAGTTCACAAGTGTTTCTGTCCTTTACTTTTGAATTACTACAAGCCAATTCATTGTAGTTTCACTTGAATTAAAGATAACCACGTTATGATTAAATTATTTCACCGAGTAGTTTAAAGTCGTTTAGTTAGATAACTAAGGTAATGAAGGCAATAATTCGACTACTTGCTAATATACTGTCAGCCAAATAGTCTTATCTAATTTGAAGATAAGTTTAGTCATAGACTGAATCTAGGTAGACATTATTTGGAACAAATATCACACTTTGGTTTGAGACTCCTTAATATTCATAGTCGTACCAGAGCTTGGACCAAAAACCTTCAGATTTCGTAGTAAACTCTTTGCTCTCCGAACACTAAGTTGACATTCATTGGTCACAATTCTCAGTCACAATCACTCCTCAGTATTATGAGACTATTATCTAATGTAATGTGTGACACATTTCTCATCCGTGACTTGATTTTTATACTTCGTTAAAATTATTTTAGAAAATTACTAAATTTGACATTTATCATTATGTAACAACAACAATGGAATTGATTCGACTAATGCTTTAATTTATTTAATCCATTATCTTACTACTTATTTCTATCCTTATATGAGGTTTGGTTACCATTAAAAAAAAAGGCCAACGTTTTTTGAACCCCCCCCCCAGATTTTCATGAAAATAATTATTTCTACCCATTAACAATACGATTTACAAAAGAATTAACTTTAAATTTATTTTTCCATACATTATCATTGACTTGATTATAACTTAACTATTGTCATTTATTTTCTCATTGTGCTTTGAAATAATATAAGCAGAAAATAGGAGGGGGGGGAGGAAGAAATCTCATGGCATATTCTAATTGATTACACTAAATTCTCCTAACAATACG